ACTCATCGGAGCGTTTTACACAGAGACAGTTGAATAAGGGCGGTGACCTTTAATCAGTTATGTCAATAAAAAACAAGGATGTCACCATTTGTTCCTGGCACGGTACAAATGTGGCTTAGAGTGGATACTGTAGTTCTGTCCACTGCAAAACAAAAGGCTGCATATGTTTGCACAGTGATACACAATCACAATCTTTGCTTAGCTAAAGTCTGCAAATTTGGTTTTTCACTCTTATTAAAGGTTTTAGATGTACAGTAATGTTTCATAATTGCCAGAAAAGCTGATGCAAGCATGGAAAAGAGTGCAAAAGCACAGAGTCATTCACAGCCAAAAGAACAAACTGGATCTCAGTGGACTGTTGGACTCTTTGGTAGTAAACAACCAAAGCTTCTATTTTCTAGAAGAATCAGGTTTTGTTTGTGGTTTATATGACAAGACCACAATTTTTTTGTAAGTTACTGTAATATCCTAGTACAAACACTGTAATGAAAATTTTGGAGTAATCCGGTTAATGCACATCCCAAGATCTTTGAGGTGCATGAATACTAATAATACTAATAATACTAATAATACTAATACTACTACTACTACTACTACTACTACTACTAATAATAATAATAATAATAATAATAATAATAATAATAATAATAATAATAATAATACTATTGTATAAGCTGGGATGTGGTTCTACTACGCTAACATCATTAAAATCCATCATGTGTGTTCACTGTTAACTTATCATTTCATATCACTGTGTAGTTTATAGAGGGAAGCCAACAAATTTGTGCTCAGAGATGTAATGAAGTACATTGTTATGTTTGTTGTAAACCCAACACATACTGACTAACAGACTCTGGATGTTCTCTTATGATCATACTAGTCTGTGACTGTGAGCTTGCATGTGCTTTCAGTTTCTATCTGCTCGGCAGTTCTGTGTGGAGTACAGATGTACTGGGACTGTTTGTCTGTGTTCAACTACCATCAGTAGACTGCAAATAGAGTACAAATAAATTCTAAAGAGGCTTCAGTGCCATCTTGTCTTTTGCTTAAAGATTTTTCTGGTTTAATTACATGTTTGAAGAGACTGTGGCCGTGCAGGCTACAAGCTGAATGGTCCCGCTTCCCATAGTGCTCATTATGTGAAACGCTGCCCGTATCCGTTCTTTCTTTCATGGTGGTGAAGTGTTCACTTCCTCTGCACAGAGCTTGCGATTTGCTTGCTCCTTTTATCAGCAGTTTTGGGGAAACCCGACCAAAAGCATCTTTGTGGCACACAGTAAATGATCTGGCTCGCAGATGTTCGGATTGTCCTCGTTAATCTCCTTATGAAGATGCTTTACTGCTTTTTGGTTAAACTCACAGAAAGACAACGAGACAGCTTCCTCCAAACCCGACCCAAGAGAGGATAGATATGAAGACAGAGAAAAACTGGGGCCCACCTTTTGTAGCTCTGTTGTTTTCCTGTTCAGTTTTCACTGATTTGATCCAAGTGACCTCAGAATCGACTGTAGACAACTCCCCAGCAATTCATTCCAAAGCAAATACGCAGAAAATATTATCTGCCAGTAGTAGGGAAGCTGAAAACAGTGCTCATTTGGGATTAAAGTAATAGATGGAGGACAGAAATATTATACATATTTTATTTATCTCAGTGTCCTCTTTCAGGATCTCCTGCTACAGTTTAATACACCATTGCAGGACTCCCACATTTGCACCTGGATGCTGGTGAGCACAGCCACAGCCTCCCAGTGTTGGGGATCATGATGTATGAATCTGCACATAAGACGGCCAAAGTTTGAAGTCTTCTTCATGCAAGAAGCCTCTCCACAAATTTTGGTATTTCCAGTGTTTTTAGCTGTCCTTTGGAAAAAGATGAATGTGTCCATGGGCTTTGAAAGCAAAGCAGCGATCTGGGATTTGAACAAAGTTGAAAAATTCATTTCTTGTGAGCAAAGAAGACCTTCAGGGAAAAGTGTTTATCAAAACCACAAAAGACAGACATGTGGAACATTATTGCATTGTTTGTGTCTCATTTATCATCCGTATCTGGACATATGGAGGAAGACGGTCACATGACATGCTGCTGAGTTACATATATTTTTACCATTTTTAGTCACTTATGTTTTTAATTTCAACATGAATTTGGAGCATTTCTTATATTTGAAGCAGTTCGGCCTGATCTCCCGTGAATTGTTTCCATACAGCTAAACCTGATTCTGAATTATGTTTCACAAAAACGTAGCTAGCAGTTAAAAAGACAGATGATGTCTGCTTAGGTGGTGAAGGATATCACAAGCTTCTCACAGAGGATGCTAAAGTTCAGTTCTGGTGCAAGATCACAATTTCTTCCAAGCCAAGATCTTTTTTTGGGTCTCCTGCACGATGAGTGTTACCTCAAATAAAATGTACATAATTATGTTTTTAAAAGAAAGATCGGTATGAAAGATATTACAAGCCATTTTTATAAAATCACAGCAAAGCATGTAATAGAAACACCAGTCCATGGTGTCAGTTTCACACTTTGCCTCTCCAAAGCTTCAAATAGACGCACACGTTTCAGTTGTCGTACCAGCAGGGGGAGATAATATATTCAAAGCAGTCACCGAGGAAGACGTGATGTATAGTGATGTGCAAGTACCACTGATTTCCTTTCCAATCTGATACCAAGTAAAATTCAGGGTGGTATCATCAATACTGCTCCAATACCGATACTTTGTACAAAACCTTAATGTGTTATTGTATTTCAAATTATAGCTTCAGAATGATTACAGGACATCAGACTACTTGTTCGTGCTGTTTAATATTGAAACATCATCATCATATAGAAATAAAAAACCTGAAGTTGTGTGTTAATTGACGCTGTTTGAACATGTATATCTTGTCATTTAACATGCATATATTTGCATGGACATTTCAACAAAAACATTCCACATTCACACTTACCCTCATTCACAGTAGTGTTGTGCCACACTGCAAATTTTAGTATTGATCCAATACCAAGTAAATACAGGGCCACTATTGCTGATATCAGTACCAATAATTTTAAGTTATTCAGGCAGCTAATTGGGGGAGAGTAGCGTGCCATAACTTATCAATTTGCAAATTCTGAACAGATTTCAGGGAAATAATGGAGTTTGATATAATCTTTATTTCACCAGGAAGTGAAACACCGGAGAATTAAACATTTTTAGCACTACTATGGAGTGGCTCATACTGATAGTGGTTTACATGTGAGAGACAGCCGGCCTCATCAGTATTGGGTGGTGGTCTTAATTAACGGGTCCTCCCGTGTAATGAAGGGAAGACTTCACCTGCTGGGCAGCCTGTATAGGCAGGTTTTCTCTCACAATGTCTCAGGCACCCAGCTTTGTTTTATTCCTACTTTGGTTTGATTGTGTTATAGTCATCTGTAACTGAAGTCACATCCTGATAGCATGTAGTTTTTATTTCCTAGTAAATTTACTGAGAAACTGTTGTTATGTGGATCTCCCTTCTTTGGCCCTGAATGAGCCTGGCATAACATGAAACTGGGGGAGACACAAGTCCCTTGTTGTTTTAGGAAGATCATACACCATAATAATCTGCTCACACAGATATGCAGAGCTGCTTGGTACCCCTGCTATGCCCCGTATGAATAATGGAGCTCGAGTATCCTGGGCCTGCATAGCGGGTAGTAGCACAAAAGAGGACTTTGCCCGGGTCTGGATCAGAACATGCTTGTCTGATTGCTGCATAGCAGACTCTGCAGTAAGATTTTTAATCCTGCTTCTTTCATCACACGTGTCCTTCTGGGGGAAATTAAGCTAATGTGGAAGTACCGTAAACTTTGTTTCTGAGGGCCTACAGTGGGATATTATGAGGTGTGAGAAAATGGCCTTACTGCTCAGTAGATCTAAGAACTCAATAAACATTTTCCTGATAAGTTTAAAGTTGCTAGTTTGAATCTATCCATCCATTCTCTTCTGCTAATCCTTATCAGGGTAAAAAAAAAAACAGACAGACAGCCGGTCACACTCACATTCACACCTATGGCCAATTTTGAATCATTGGTTGACCTTACCCCACTGATTGTCTCTGGACTGTGTGAGGAATAAAAAATGAGTTTAAAGTTCCCATGCTAATTAAAATGAGGGGAAAGCAGGATGCTCTCTGGCTCAGGCTTGCCCGTCTGATTGATGAGTAACAACATAGAGCGTGACATGTTGTTTCTCAGTCACATTCGACATCTGGTTTAAAAGAAGTTCAGAGGGTGGAAGCCAGAGTTGAGAATTCACCCCACTACTCGCTTAATTTATGACCTCAGTGAACATTTTTCTTTTGTGTTCCTGGTTTCAAATGATCGCTGCAGGTCACCGTGGCTACATCTGTCTTTTTTATAGTCTGTGACTTTGTACATCATTAGCTGAGTGGGCACTGACTAACAGGCTGTCATCGTGTCTGCAGCCTACAACTTTTAAATGCTTCTGTGTGACAGACGCCTCAGAAACTTAACTCTTCACTACATAGAGAACAGAGGACAGCTACAGCAAACAAAGAAATGAACCCCTGTGTCTGTAATATTTTATTGCCATCAGATGAACTGTCATTGTGGCAGATTAGCTCTTTTTCAACCAAGACTTAAACACTTAAAAGTTCAGGTCTACAGTTTTCACTCAGTGTCTCCAGGCAGGTTTTACTCCAGCTGCTGGTGGGACAATAATTCAGTGAGGGTGAAGGAATATTTCAAAAGGGGCAGGATGGCAACTGTACATGTATGCACGTGTTGCCCCACACAGATAAAGACGTGTGTGCCTAAATTGGCAAGCTGGGCTGTTCCACACGTGTAGAGCACTCTGTGAGGAGATCCCAGGGAGGTGAGCGTCACAATTCAGCTTACACAAAGAAAAAAGAGGCGAGGAGATGAAAGAGACTAGTGAGGGACGCTGCAAGCATGAGAGCATAACATGGCTGAACCACAGGAGGAGGAGGAGGCTGTGATTAATGACATTCAAGCTGTGAAGGTGTCTCAGTGCAGAGCCAGCCTCCCCGTTGTATCCTCCTCCTCCTCTCGCAGTCACTTCTCTCCATCTGTTTTGATGCAGCTCATAACAGATCGTCACATTATCCTCCCTTCATCTGGAAACCGCAGCAGCCTTGGGATTCAACCCAGCACCACACTCCTCTCAGTGCTGCACCTGGGAGGCAGCTGTACACAGCGCATTACCTGACTGGACATTTAAAGAAAACCCTCGGAGCCCTTTCTTCTTCTTCTTAGGTGCTCACTGGAAACACTTAGGGTTTTGATTCAGCAGGAGCCTCTGCTCTGCTGCTTCAGCTCCTCCAGCTGCTGCGGGGAACTTGACGAGGAGCCAAGGTGCTTTTGCTCCTTTGATTTCTCACCTGGATGCTGAGGAGGTCAACAGGATGGACCTCACTTACATTTGTCTCCTCTTCACGGCTCTAATGTTGATCCAGCACAGCGAAGGTAAACCCGTTTTTATATCTGTCCAATTAGATGTTTGTTACTAGATGGGTGGGATGTAAGGACTCTGTTTACATGGTATAATTTACATGATCCTCTTAAAAGACAATGCATCACTAAGCAAATTAAGGAATATGTCATTCTTTGAGATCTAAGTATTTCTCCAGATGCTGATTAATTTTTATTCCACTTTCAGGACTCAGTTTGATTTTATTAGCCAGTGAGTTAATAAACAGGTTTGTGGACTACCATGGCAACTTGTTAATTTTGGAGCCCTGAAATTAATAAAAGGTAGAAAAGAGTTATCAAGCTTACAAAAATAATAAACAAAAGTGGTTAAATAAAAAATAATGACCTTTATCTGTATCTCTTACATAAATACTGCTCATTTTTAATACCGTCACAGCTTCTGCAAATCAAGTATCAAAAATCGATTAGGAATATTTAAACAGTCTTTGAGATGTCAATAAATTATGAATTTATTCATTTTCATAAATCAAAAATCCACAGCACTACACATTATTTTTCATGACATGAAAGCACTGCAACCTCAATGTTTTAATGTTCACATTATTCATATTTTAATTGAAAGCAGAAACAACATCAGGACTGTGAGGCTGTATAATGAGATCTGCAGCTAGGCACTCTGTTCTCTGGTTTCCACAGTCGAGCTCATTGTGACATTTTATTATTCAAAAAGCAATCAAAGGTCACGTAGCGTGTAAGGACTCCCTCTGTTGTTGCTTTCTAGCTCTTGGATGATGAAGTTTTACAGTGTCAGTGTCACGGCACCCTGTGACCTGCTGCGCGTGAATATAATAATCATAATAATCATACCCTTGCTCTTTCAGCAAATTCCTGTGTTGAAGGTCCTGTGGTAGCTGTGGAGGGGCGTCTCACACCTCAAACATGATAGAGGTCAAATTTAAAAAGAATATGTCTAATTCAGGCTAAAAATGTCAAAAGTGCGTTTATACTTCTCTCACTCTTCAATGTTGATGAAACTGGAACTAAAAGTAACTTTCTAACGTCACCATCTTCCAGCACAGGATTGCTTTGTGTTTTAAAACGGCTGGTCTGGTTATAGTAAAACACCGCCAAATGTGATCTTTTCTGGGACCAAAAAAACAATAAGAATAATACTGGAATAAATTGTAGGTTCAAAATACGAAACCCCAGTGAGCAGCATCACGATGGTTTCACCTTTCTTTGCATATTGTCGACTTGCTTCAGTTCTTTGAAGTTGCTTCATTGGCTTTCATTCATGCACAGCACTCTTAAGGACCCACCACAGCATTAGAGTCAGGTTGAGGTCTGGACTTTGAATCATTGCAGACCTTGGGTCATTGCATTACCTCAGTACTTGTCTTTTTCCGCCATTCTGTTGGAGATTTGCTGCTGTGCTTGGGATCACTGTCTGTTTTAGGCTGAGCTTTAGTCCAAACTTTAGGCCTCACACTGACTCTAGAATACATTGCTATGTAGACAAGTTCATGGTGGATTCAATGACTGCAAAGTACCTGCTGCTGCAAATCAAGATCAAACTGTCACCCTTCTACCACCATGCTTCACAGTTAGTGCTCTCCAAGCAAAGTACTTTCTTTGACAGAAGAGGCTTTCTCCTGGGAACCCTTATAAATAAGCCATACCTGTTCACTCTTTCTCAGTTCAGAGAGCTGTTCACTTGGAGGTGGCTGTAGCTCAGATCACCCTCTAATTGGAAGGTTAGTGGTTCGATCCCTGTCTGCTCGAGTCTGCATGCCAAATATCTTTGGGTATGATAATAACCCCAGGTTTCCTGCAATGGAGTTTGAATGATAGATAGATAGGTAGATAGATAGCACGTAGTTAGGAAATACATGGAAGATGTTTTCGTGTGAATGAGGCAAGCCATATAAAGTGAGTGCTGTGAGTAGAGGAGTGCTGTATGAGACACCGATATTAAATAAATTCTAACAACAGTTGATCAAGCTTAAATGTGCAGCTGTTGTTTAACGCGACATCCGCTGGTTTCCTCTTTCTGGCACAAAGTGGGCAATAAACAAACAAGAGAGAAAAGCTGATCAGCTGATCATTGATCAGTTTCACGATCATGTTCATTGAAGTAGAAACAGGAGAAGGAGGGGGAGAGAATGAGCGAAGAAGAGGCAGCTGTGCAGCGTAAAGACAGAATAACTCCAGCTTTGTGTCTTTTTCCATCCTAGCTGAAGTACGGGACAAACTGTGTTCCTTTTTAGCTCAGTACAAAGCGTGTAATATTTTCTCTGAATGAGGGACGATTCCATCTTTTTACGGGACGGTTGGCAACTCTACTAACGAACCTTATGAATAAAATAAAGTTCACTATCAGTAACATCATAACACCCACCCAGCTGTATAGAAACTCTGTCATGCTAGCTAGTATGCAGTACAAGTTATTGTAACTGACTGTAAAAAGTCAGCACAACGAAAATAAACTCCACCTAAACTTGGTTTATATCTGATCCAGATAGACTGCAGGTCATAACTTCTTACCTGAAGTTCAGTTCACCTGACACTCGGACCGGCGGCCGCCTCGGGTCTCTCTCCTCCTCCTGTCTCCCCTTTCTCTCATCCACCTGCTGTCCTCCACCTCTTGCTAATGTTACTGAATCTGTGGAAGCTCCGCGATAGCCACCACCAAACAACTGAGTTATTTTTAAACACCGACCAGCGTCTGGCCAATCCACCACCTTTCATTGTTTATACCGTTACCAAAAAAAAAAAAATCATCGGCCCATAAAAACGAAAAATCACCATAGACGGGTAAGACGGGACGATTTAGTCTGTGAAGCTGAGCGTGAGCCACACAGAAATCCAACCATAAACACAAAACGACCTCTTGTAGCCTCCAGCTAACATACCTGAGGGCTGCTGAAGAAATAAGTCTTACAGCTGTACATGCTAAGGACTGTGCGGTAAAACCCTTTTCATTGAAAATTAATTCTTTTTCAAATGACTGATGAGTCAAGTAAAACTGTGGATTTAATGAAAGCTGGTATAATCTGGTCTTTAGCTAAGTTTGGGTAACAATGCCTGGTTTAGGTGTTCTTCAGACTGTTAGCATATTCAATCCCCAGATATCTTTGTGAAGCAGCTAATAAAAATGTTTTCAGAAACCTTGATGGTAAGGCCCTCACAGAAGGAAGAAGTAATTTTAAGAAATACAAAAGAACATTATTTCACATTATCCCGAGGTATAGTTTGAGCCTGCCAGGAACTTTAAAAATCAAAGCAGGCTGGGATATTTAACTTTTTGAATAGGTCTACCTGCAGAACTGGATTTCTAAAACTAGGGCTGTGTTGTGTTTTCATACTCCTAAATTTCCTGCACAAGTCTAAACCAGGCTTTCTATTATAGAAGAGTCATTTACGAAGAAAGCTTTGTAGGCTTGATAAAGGTGCCTACATAGTGAATAAAAATTCATTAATTATTTAATGTACAAATATTGAATTGAAACACTGGCAATAAAATCATGGTTTGTCAAACAGACTCATTTCATGGTGCAGGCGATGAAGGACAAACACATTAAAGGGTGTTTTAAAGAGTTATTTGTGATTTGAACTCATTTAAACTTTTGAAACACCTAAGACATAAAGTGGAATAACCATTTTAGGTAGCAGCAGACCAGTGACCCCTCTGTTCTCAAAGATAACATTCCTGGTTTGATCTTTAGGTTTGTTGGCTTGAACCACACACAGTGCATACAATGGCTTACAGATCCGATCTTTTCAAAAGAATTTACAAGCATAACCAATTTAAATCATACTTTATGCTCATTCTTGCATGATGAATTTATATTTGTGATAATAAAAATGTTGTCACATGTACAGTACGTGTCAAAGAAGCCTGACACCAAGTCTAATTTAGCATGCCACATGCCAGCCAGCTGAAGTACAGCTGGGCACATTTATGTGTAATCCTGGTAAGAACAAGTCTGGGCCTTTGGTGCAGCATTACGATATGACCCTCTTGGTGTTGCTGAATGAAAACCCACATCCTCAGGTACATCTTAAAGGTTAAAGGACGGGGTGGCTACTTGCAGTTGCATGTTTTCTTTTACATTTAAACACCACAAGCTAGAGCTAACCGTTGTGTGCAGTTAAAAGGAAAATATAAAATGGAAGTTGGCTGAACATCTTCTCTATGAAACAAGAATTACTGAGGTTGGTCATAAAGTGTGAGCACATTCTGAGAAACACCAGCGTGCTTCCTGTTTCTACATCAGTTGAAATCGTCATTATGAAATAGTACTTGTGGTTTCGGGTGTCCTGACCAACACTCAATCTACTCATTTCCTCTTGTTCAGCAGTGTGCATGCTCATTACTGTCACAGGGTACTACTTATGACTGAGGTGAGGCGAGGAGCTGCCTTTTCCATGAAATATTTAGCATACTGAATTACTGGGTACATGCTACCTCCATCATCTTAAACAAATATAGTTTGGGTAGGGTCTTTGTTAGCGTGAGGACCTCAGAGAATTTTTAAAGCACCTTTCTGTCAACATGTTGTCCCTACTCTTTCTCTACTTTTCTGGCTACCGCTGTCTTTTTTTCCGCTTACCAAACTGTCTACCATTTTTCTTGCCATTTTTCTGTCTCCTCTATCTCCACCTTCCCGTTGGTCTTAATCTGTGCTGCGTGTTTTGTATTTGTCTATCACAGCCAGACATCTGAGCCTTATTAGGGATTGCTGGTGAAAGCAGCACTTTGAAATCACAAGACAACACCACAGCCTTTGTCTTCGAGCACTGAGGACACTAAATAAAACCTAACAGCCTGTATAACAACAGAAACAGCCTGAGCTGGTTGAAAATGTGCAGATGGGTGGTAATTTGAAAGAAAAACTACAACCCTGACCCTTACAGTTTGAGCCCTACACTTCTGTTCCTGTCCATTTTTCCTTATAGTGAGACTGGTCACTGCAAATCAATGCAAAGTAATAACTCATATCACCTTTCTCCCCTGGAATAATGATGCCCCA